TTACGTACTTTGTGTATGCAGCACGGACCCTTACAAACTTTTCATCTGTATTTAAATCAAGGTATTGCCCTGTGCAAGTATGCCTCACGTGAGGAAGCCAGTAAAGCACAAATGACTTTGAACAATTGCTTCTTGGGCAATTCAACAATTATTGCGGAATCGCCCAGCGAAAATGAAGTCCATTCGATCTTGCACCATTTGCCCCAGCAAAATACCAATGCTACTGCCACACAACAGCATGCACAACAGGGCGGGGGAGGCGGTGGAGGTCAGAACTCAAGCCATAACAATGCCGGCGGTGGCATGAACAATCCGGGTGGTGGCGGAGGCAGCTCAAATACAAATGCCAATAATGTCAATAACGTTAACAATGCCTCAGGTTCACAAAATCCCACGTCAGCGGGTGGTAATAACGTTAATCCTCAATCAAATACTTCGTCAAATAATTCCTCAAACGCCAATGCGGTCAACAATGGTATTAATAATTCCGGGCAAAATGGTAATCAGCCATCGAATCACAATTCTCATCCGAATGCAAATACACAAAATACCGCAAATGTTGCCACAAACAATACCAATGTTGCCGCCAATAATTCATCGAATGCCAATGCCAATCAGGCATGGCGTTCCACTACCAACCAACAGCAACAACAGCAGCAACAGCAACAAAGCCTAAATTCTCAAACACGTCCCTCTGGTGGCCGTGACGATTTTGACATAATTTCCAAATATGTGTGTTCGATTGTGGATGACTAGATAAGGCCTAATAGTTTAAACCAACCACCACAACAACAACAACAACCACCACCACCTCCCTCTTCTAATCTTCCCACTCTTACCATACTCCCGCGACCACCACCACTTTTACTTTCCAGCTTTCAACAACAACAACAACAAAAAACAACAACCACAAGCATAGAAGATTTCTCAAGTAGTTTTTAACTATATACATTAATCGAACATTAAAAAATAATAATAATAATTATAATTATAAAGAAAAAATAATAATATATAATGATGTATGTTTCTTCGAACTTTTAATTTGTTTGTTTGTTTTAAACTTCAAATGAGTGAATCGATTGATGAAGAAAACTTTCGGCTCAACAACTCTCTTCCATTCTCGTATCTTATGATGACACGATTTTTGTCTTTTAGTTAAAATGTCTCTCTACTTAACATATTTTTTTAATTTTATTTTTCTTGATTTTTTTTTAACTCCCTTGTTGTGCGTCCCCGGCTGTCGGCAGACAGCTGCCATGGATAATAATGTTGCTAATCATGCTGCAAATGATATGATATATATGTATATTTTAATCATGTGTAGAAAAAGAAAACAAAAAACAATAAAGAAACAAACACATATATTACGAATGAAAATATAGACGATGAAACAATTATATACACAACCTTCCCTTCCCTCACACTGTCTCACACACACACGCATTTCAAGAAAAACTACGATCGCGCCCAGAGCCGCCCTTCAATTCACTCATTTGGTCGTTTAAAAGGAATAAATAAAAGAGTAATAATAATAATAAAAATTTTGAGATTGAGTTAAAACAATAAAAAAAATCAGTAATTAATTGTTTTATCTTTTGATCATATTTATCTATTAATCTAAATAAAAAATTGTATGGATATGAGTTAATATATATACATATAATAATTGTTTCGGGTTAATGTTTTCAATGTTGCACTGCTGAGTTTTAGCTGGATTGTGAACCGCCTGCAGCAATTGTCCACTAAGTCAAAGACGATTTATATTTGAGAGAAATGCCGTTGTTTTCTAAGGAAAGTGCGAAGGGAAAAATTTGAACTATTTAATTCAGATTATTTAATCCCATACAACGGTCCTGCAGATCTGCAATTATTAAATCATTTTTCAATATATTATTGAAAAACATGGAATGTACAGTGCATCGTTTTTAGTAATTTTGCAACATAGATTTTGTTTTGTTTATTTTTTTAAGCATTTCAAATGATGAGGAATGAACTCCGGACCGTATGATTGTTATTGTGCGATAGCTTCACGCGTTCCACATACGCATCCAAGTACCTTAATATAAAAACTTTTTTTTGGTGGATAATTAGATTATCAATTAGTGATGTGTGTAATTTGAAGACAATCGGACTCTTACATTACATTTTATAAGAGTTGAAACTATTTAAAATGTTGACCCTTTGTGGAGGAGGTTCTTCATTAGGATTTGCAAAGTTGGAGCAAAATTGGATGTTCGTTTCTTTTCCTGTGCAATAATATATATATATATATATATATATATATATATATATATATATATATATATATATATATATATATATATATATATATATATATATATATATATATATATATATATATATATATATATATATATATATATATATATATATATATAATTTTTTTTTTTTTTTAATTTCGACCTTTTTTAGGGGAGGTACCAGAAGGAGTAGACCGATATTGTCCACCTCCGATCTCAATCTATGTGCGATAATAATATAACGATATACCAAGATTGAACTAAATTGGATACAGCCTTCGAGAGTTTGGGCACCAGCCAGCAGACAGGGAGACAGACGTACGGACATCGCTATATCAACTCCAAATGTCATGAAACGGATTTTGTCCAAAGAAACCGAGGGTCTAAAACCGTTATTTCGATGAATCAAGTTTTGCCCTTACCAACTGATATATACCCTCTCTAACCATATGGCTGAGGGTATAGCAATTTTTTCTTTGACGTCATCCTTCTAAACTTATGCTTTGTTGGAGATTTTTGCATAAATTCACAAAAAATATGACTTTAACCCAAAAAGTGTTTCTAATATTTTTAAATTCCCGGTTATTAGGTAAGGTTTAGACTTTTTATACCTTTTAAAAAAAATAATTTAAAAAAGGGCCAAAAAGACCCATTTGTTGAGTCGCTTCAGGGTTAAATCTTTTTACCAAGCTAATACTGGGATTAGATTGTTATCTGTAAAAATGGCTGATGACGCTATACACCTAAAATGACCGGGTTCCAAGAAGTCTGTACTAAAAATTCAAATAAGGATTTCATGCATGCTTCTAATTTTTGTAAGAAATTCTACTATAGCTCTTTAAGAAATCACACATTATATAGCCTTAACCATAAACAAAAGTACAGCTATTTTATGAGATATATTTAGCAACATTTAATGTCGTTCCTCTTCTTGGTATAGTCCCTATATAAGTCTCTACGATTGCAAGTATTTTTATACCCTCCACCATAGTATGGAGGGTATATTAAGATTGTCATTTCGAGCATACATTTTAGATCCCACAAAGTATATATATTCCTGATCAGCATAAAATTCTATGTCGATTTAGCAGGACTTTTGGTATTGAAAATGGGCCATGTATGTCCAAATTTTGGTACAACCCCATATAATGGTACCTCCCTATTTTCGGTATTTTGGTGATTTTAGCGACATTATTCCCCTGGTTTTTTTTAAATTTGGTACTTAAAGTTCGTAATGGATACTACAGCCTATAAGAGAAAATTGTCTGTGCAGGTCTTCTTTTTGGTATAGCCCCCATACAGCGGTACCTCCCTATTTTTGGTATTTTGATGATTTTGTCGACATTATTCACCGGAATTGTTTCAAATTTGGAGTTCGTAATGGATACTACAGCCTATGACAGAAAATTGTCTGTGTAGGTCAATGTCTTCATTTACCCCCCTTATAACAGCACCTCCCGATATTCGGTATTTTGATGATTTTAGCGAGATTATTTGCCGCAATTGTTTAAAATTTGGTATTTGAAGTTGGTAATGGATACTATAGCCTATGACAGAAAATAACCTGTTCAGGTCCACGTCTTCGTGTAGCCCCCATATGACAGCACCTCCCGATATTCGGTATTTTGATGATTTAAGTGACATTATTCACCGGAATTGTTTCAAATTTGGTATTTGACGTTCGTTATGGATACTACAGCATATGACAGAAAAATGTCTGTGCAGGTTCACGTCTTCTTATAGCCCCAAATATAACGACACGTCCCGATATTCGGTATTTTGATGATTTTGGCGACATTATTCAAATTTGGTATTTGATGTTGAATGGATACTACAGTCTATGACAGAAAATTGTCTACGCAGGTTCGCGTTCGGTATATTGATGATATAAGCGACATTATTCAACGAAATTTTTTGTAAGTTTCGCAATTGTATATTGTAACGGCTTGTGACAAAAGTTGCCTATACAGGTCCACGTCGTAGTATAGACACTAATATAACGGCTACATTCGGTATTTTTAAGATTTTAAAAATTTGGCGTTACGGCCGAGTTTACAGATTTTTTTGCCTGTTGTAAGTAGTAATCATATTTTTCCGTTTAGTCATATTTTTTTATTTTCCACGTTACTAGCAAATATAGGTTCTCGTTTTGGTATCGGCAGAGACAACAAAACGTTTGGGAATCCTATTAGTATTGTTCTTGATAAAATATTCTAAAACAAATTTACTATATAAAATCTATTAAAATTCGATTTGTTGAAGACTTTTAGATGAGTAAAATATCAAACATTTAATTCAAGCTGGATTTGTTGGCTCCAAAATGTTTCCACTATATTAGTTTCCGGACATAACAAGTCTCACAAAGAATAAGTTTAGTTCTATTGAGGAAAGAATGTGTAATTTATATTTTTCCCCACTTAAAGAATGGTTACCGTATGATTAGTTTCGTAATCGAATTTATTTCCTGTGCTCAATTCAACAGGACTTAAACTTCCATTTCCGGTTACAAATCTTGTCAATTTCCCTTCAACATAAAAATGAGATTCTCCGAATCACCCAGTTAATCGTATTTCTTATGTTTCATTCTCTTGCACGTCTTCAATATTTTAATATTGAACAACAACAACGTTACTCTTTGGTGACTCTCCCTCTCTCGCTCTCTCTAACCAAACAAACACTGAGAATAACAGCAAACGTCACTGCACAAGCAGTAACATCTTAACTTGGCCTTAGCTCGTGTCGGGTTCTTTAGTGTTGCCGCGATACCCGAGAGAGACGAAATGGTAAAGTTACGGATAGCGGTTGTGTTGTGGAGTGTTGTATAGAAAACAACAACAAAGAAACGGGTTAAGTTTCACCAGCCAAAAAATTATTTTTTTTTTTTCATTTGTTCGATTCAAAAATTGTCACAATCAATAGAAAAAGGCCACAACAGCAACAACAACAACCACATACATAGGTGAAGTTAATTCATGTGATAGCCAAATAGAAAAAGAAAATCAAATAAAAGCTAATTGAATTAAATTAGCCGTGGAATAAAAAAAGAAGCAAAAGAAGAAATAAGAAAAAAAAGTGAAATTTGATATAAATTCCAAATTTGGAGATTACGACAAGAAGGAGAAGCAAATATACCTCACACAACCTGAATTTTTAATTGCCATCAAGCAACAAATAAAAAGTGCATTGAATTCGTAAATAATAAAATCAAAAAAAAAGATAAAGGCAAAAAAGAATAAGAGAGTGAAACAAAAATAATTTCCATTACAACAAAGTGCAACAGCAGCAGTGCAACAATAACACAGAAATCATGTCTAATTCATGTCGTAGAAAATTACGTGTTTTACCGCTGCCGGTTGATTACGTCTCGTTACGTTCAAGGCAAGTTGACGACAACCACCACGACAACGACGACGATGCTAACGACGTTAATCTGGCTGCCATTGATAACAACAACGACGACCAACAACAAGAGCCAACACATAACACCTCAATGGAAACGGTTGGAGGGAATTTTAGCAGGCGCACAGCGGCAGCAGCAACAACAACATCTGTTGGTAATAAAATGTTGCTGACAGAAACCAAATCTCTGGAATTAAAGACCCGACCCGGCCGCGAGGATGAAGACTACGAAGATGAGGAGATATCCAAGTAAGTTCAAATAAAAACAAATAATTCAACAGCTCACAAATAATTGCTGCTGCAGTGGGTATTTAAATTGTTTACTATAAAAATAAAGCAAATAAACAGCAACAAAAATGTTAAGAATTAAACAACAACTACAACAACAATGTGAAGCATTGTGGGTCATAACAAAATGTGGTCGACACGTCATATGGTTTTGTTATTATTTTTGTATTATTGAGTTTTTTTTTGGTATTCTTTTTTAGTAGACACTCAGACATACAATCATACAATTAGCCACAATTGTGGGGAATTACTCCCCCTTCTAGCCAAATATACACGTGTTGGATTTTCGGTTGCACTTTTGTTGTTGTAGCCAATAATAATGCAAGTCATGAAGTCTAGTCGGGGAAAATAAACAAACTGTTTATTTTCTTCATATCGCTCTCAGAGTATTTATGTTGTAGACTACGTGCCACGTGGGTGGAAGAGTCAGAGATGGATGTTTTGAATTGCTGCAAAATATAGGAGAAATAAATATAAATAAGGAAATTTGGTTATGTCAAATAAATTTGTGAAGGATTTTTCAATAAGAGGTGTTATTAGCCCTTGCTTGAGGTGATCTACACTTTGGTATTTTTTTAGTGTCAACCTTGCTTTCCAAAATACTCCAGATACAATGTCCTACGGATTGGTACCCGGAGATTTTGGTGGCCATTGTGGAAATGAAGCAAGGGACCTCATTTTGTAACCATTCTTGGGTGGCGCGTGTTGAGTGCGATGGTGCTGAGTCCTGTTATAATGTAAAAGGTCTGCGGCCAAAATGTTTGCGTGCCTAAGGTTTTAATACACCGTCCAGAATATTTTCGCGATAATATTCGGTATTTATTCTGATGTCACGATCGATTAATACGAGCGGAGAGCGACCTTCGGCTGTTATGGCGGCCCACACCATCACCATGGCCGGCGCTTGAGTTCTGGTGGCCAAACGAAGGTGCACATTTTCAGCTTACCTCTTTGGCAAGTGAACCCGATCATTTTGTTTGTTTACAAACTGTTGGATAACGAATGTTTTCTCATTGGAGAAAGATAGGCAGTTCACCATTTTCGGCCAAGCGAACAACTCTAAAGAGTCCATTTTCTTTCTGTCGCGGTGTTAGTTCTTGCACTTTTTGGATTTTCAATGGCTTTACCCTGAGTCGGGCTACGCTACCAGTATCACGGTAATGAGCGATGGTACGAGACACAAAAGACTTATTCACATTTAAATGGTGGAGTGGTGCTCTAACGATAGCCACTTGTGGTTTTCCAGCCAAATATAAAGAAATCACACTATCACGCTTGAATTCCATCACGAATAATTTTTTTCTGGAAAATTCTCACCAAAATGTTTTTGTACACTTGTTAGCAATATATTGAGCTGTCACTGAAATAATTTTAACAGCTGTAGGACAAGTGGCATAGAAATGACAGCCGTTTGAAGTTGGTTGCAGTTTTTTCATCTCACCCCGTATAACCAAGACTTTGCAAAAGTCTTTACTCTAAAGTCCTTAAAAGTATTCAACAACAAATACAGGTATCCATTATTCAATAAATTCCCCTAATGTTTGGTCAGAAAATTTAAAATTAAAAAACTGTGATTTTTGTCTTGGAAGAGCTTGTAAGATATTACACTGTTCCGCCATTTTTGGCCTGGAAGTTTTGAAAAAAAATCGTTACCGAAAGAAGAGTAAAATTACAAAAAGTTTCAAGTTTTGATTATGCCAATCTTTCTGGCGCCTAGTAATAAAGCTTTAATCGAACCTAAGTTTGTTTTAGAGGATAAAAGGAAATGTCTTTGAGAAAAAAATGCGTCAATTGAAGCGAGCACGTCTATATAGACATGAACTTTAATAGCCCCCAAAAAATAGACTTAAGAGTTAACGGCCCGATAAAATGTTGTCACATAATGAGTTACTGCTTAAAAAAACCAGCTTTCCACAAAGGAAAAGTTTTATCTCATAAATGTGAAATGAAATCATAAATCAATCGAGGATAAAAAAATAAAGAAGAGGGATAATGTGTCATATATATGTAGATCACACTGCATATCTTTCACAATTTCTTTACTGATTTGTAATCTTTAAACAAGAGAATGACAAAAACTGAGGGCCACTCACAATAGGCGTTTTCTTTTGACGGTTCTTGTTTTGTTTATGGCACTAACTGAAATTTGTGGTTATCAATTTTGCACACTTGTGGGGGGCCTTGTGACTTGATAACGTCGGCGACAATGCTTCCGAGTAAGCGATCCACATGTGTGTTGTGCGTTGCAATTTTTATTTAAATTCAAATTTTTATACAACAATTTGTGGGGAAGATTTTGAAAATGTGCTCTTTGGCCGTTTTCAATAAAGTGGCGCCCAATTCAAACTCACACACATTTCCACATTTTGGCACCTGTTTCCGATGTTACTCCATAGCTGATCGCCCATCTTGCAATGTTGTAATTACACATTTGGCTCAGTTGGCAAATTTATTTGCCTTCAAAATTCCAAGTATTTTGAATTTTCAAAGAAAATGAATTTCCTTTAGTTTTTCTTTTTCTAGTTTTCAAAATACTACGAATACGGTATTAAAGTATTAAACGAGCAAAAACTAAAATAAAATTTAAAAGGTATGAACGAACACAACAAATGAAAACAAACAATAAATGAAACGCCAACGCAAAAAAAAAAAACAGAAAACAATGAAAGAAAATTTAAGACAGGCGATCGGGCGGACGGTATTGTTTATCAGCTACTAAATAAAAGGAGAACATCTAACCGCACATGGTGTGGTGTGTTCTGGGGCAGTACCTTAGTGCTTGATTAATAATGGCAAAGAAATATCGCGCTTATCAGTACTTAAAATTTATTAAAGATCTTACATAGACTTGTATTCTCTGATAAGAAATAGACTTTTGATAAAAGGCTGGAATATAAATAGGCAATGGTGTGGTAGGAGGCAACCACCCTCCAAGAGTGGTGAATTACAGCCAAAAATAACCAGAACAAAGTGGTTGCAAAAGGGACGTTGTTCAACTGTGAAATGGCGCAATGGAATTTGGTTTTTAGAGAGGAACGGTGGGAGAGATTGTTTTGGAGATCACTAGTCATTACGTTTTCGACCTCAGGACTTTGAAAATAGGATCACATCGTTAGGGACCCAGCAAAAAAGGTAAACAGACGGTAATGTAAACAAACGGCAGGCAAAAAGTTTGACCATCCGACTAAGAAACCGATGGTTGTGAGTTCGAGACTCGGCGTCAGCAAAGGAAGGAAAAACCCAGTAAGGAAAAGTCAAAAGTCGGGCGGGGCAGATTATATGATACCCTACACCACTATGCATATTTTGTAACAAAAGAATTTATTTGAAGTAGATATACCACCTATCAACATTTGGCTTTACAGCAGTTATAGTTTGGTTTCAGAGGGAACTAATATAGGGGAGGCATATCCTATTCTGAATCGATTTTCACTAAATTTGACAGAGACATTTTAACCTTTTATACCAAATAACATTGCTATAGAGTGCATGATATCACTCCCACTCAAAAACCTCGAAAAATTGTGTTTACGCTCTGCTCCATGGAGCGCACTTTTTCGAATTCGAGTGAGTTTCACATTCGAGGACATTCAAATGATTTTCTTCATAAAATCACCTGTAATGTGTCCTCCCTAAAGAGTAGACTATCAAAATGTCCTCTATAGAAACAAGACCTTCGGGAGGTTTCCTCAAGAAAGAAAATCCTGAAAAGGTCATATAAAAAATGAAGAACTTCAAAAGGTCTTCTATAAAAAATGCCTTCCAGACCTTTAACTTTTTTTCTACGAAAAGAAGACCTTCAACAGGTTATTCTATTAAAAAAAGACCTTCAACTGATCCATTTTTGGAAAGAAGACCTTCAACATGTCTTTCTTCCTTCAGCAGGACTTTGGATGGAAAGGAACCCTTCAACAAATCGTCGGTGGTAGGGAGACGTTCAATAGTTCTTTTATATAAAATGGATTTTTTAAAGAAAAAGAGACCATCTCTTCTTGTTTAGAAAGATTCCTCTATTGCAAAGGTCTACAGAAAGAAGGCAATAAAGAGATCTTCTGTATAAACCATATTCTATAAAAAAAAGACCTTTAAGCGATAATCTACAGAAAATCAATTTTCTACAGGTTCTCTATTGGAAAAATCCCTTCAATATATCTTCTACGAGTCTTCTTTCCTTCAGTAGGACTTTATACGGAAAGAAAACCTTCAAAGTGTCTGCTGTGTGGCACGGTCAATACCTTTAACAAATATTCTATAAAAACGGATTTTCCACAGGTCCTCTATACAAAAAATATCTTTGACAGGAATTCTAAAGATAACAAATAACTTTGAATACCCTCCACCATTTGGAACGAAGACGTGGACCTGCACAGACAATTTTCTGTCATAGGCTGTAGAAAACATTTTCGGTGAATAATGTCGCTTAAATCACCAAAATACCAAAAAAGGGAGGTACCATTATATGGGTGCTATAGGAAAACGTGGACCTACATGACCCACGATACATGGAAGCTAGAGTGATTTCCACAGACGGAAATCACAGAGATAAACTTTGTGGTGTCTAAAATGTATATTTCGGAATGACAAACTTAATATACCCTCCATACTATGGTGGAGGGTATGAAAAGAACATAACTTCTTCTTAAATATGCTCCTATTGCAAAGGTCTATAATAAATGGAGCTTTAAAAGGTTTCTAAAGAATGAAGGCCTTTAACAGATCTATAGCGAAATGACCTTTAAGCGGTCAACTACAGAAAATAATTTTCCTACAAGTCTTCTATAGTGCTTTAACTTTAATTGCTTTAAATTTTAAGAAATTCATAAAAATTAAAAAAATTAAACCGAAAACCGAACCTGAAAAGCATGATATTACGATTTTTCAATTATTTATTGAATTTCACTGAAAGTCAATTAAGAGAGAATATATCTAGAAAATAATTGAATCAATGTTGCCAAAAAAAA